TTCTGGTCCCGAGTGCATCTGTTACAGCATACGTAAGTACATATACCTTTTACATAAAAAAAATCAAGATTGGAAGTTTAATTTTATGGAATTTTTAAGATATCAATTTTCAAAAAACTAAATTATTTTTTAAGAAAATATTTTTTAACCGATGAAAAATTTTCAATATTGATACAAAATAAAAAACTTAAATTAATACCAGTTGATACTGGTACGCAGTTTAAAAACGCAGAATGATACATAGTTTGGTACACAAACGGATAATTTGCACCATACACAAAACAATTTTCCCAACAGGGACACGAAAGGCTCTTGTGGTTTACCATTCTTTGTTTCCTTCCATGGCTCATTAAAACTAATTTATTTTAATACAATCTAACTTATGGTATTTATATTTTTGTTATAAGAATTTTAGATAATTCAATTTCTTTAGCATTCCCTTTTGAGTTAAAATAAAGACTTTTCTATAATCAATTTTACACATTATTTTAAACTCTATAATTACAACCACAGGCAACTAATTTCAATTTAAAAGAAAAATTACTATAATTTTTACTGTCACATTTTACAAATTTCAACTCTGTACATGGAGAATTTGCTTCTTAAATTTTACTGAAATATGAGTCATGATACAATTAATTATTGATATGAAATTGAAAAGTTTAAATATTATGCAAAGTATATAGTTTAAGTTAATCAGAGTTAAGGCTGTACAAAAATAAGAAAAATAGCAAGTAAAATTCATTGAAAAAATTGCTAAAAATTACAGAAAAAATTACTTTAAACTTTTACTTTGAAATATAATGAAAGAAAGAATAAGAATTGAAATATAATTTACTTTGAAATATAAGGAAAATAGCAAGCAAAGGAAAAAAATACTGAATCCACAGAAAATTCTTCACAATTATATAGAAAAACTTAGTGCTAATAAAAATAAAGCAATTTCTAATCGATAAGTTTAATAATAGATTTAAAGTTATAAAAAAGTCCAATTAGCTATGTTTCTTTGCATTATGAGAATAGAGCAATTTATCAGATTGTGAAACTTGACACATCTTTTTTTCTACATAATAACTCTTTAAACTTATTTATTTTCAACCAGAATTATAAATCAATGAATGGAAGGATATATATTTATTAAGAGATGTTAAATTGAGTTATGATTTTTAAGCATTACAATTATCAAGGCTTGAACTAAGATTTACAGATTCCGATAATTATTGCTGTAAGGATTATTTTTTGTTCATCGACATGGACGCAAAGTCATGAATGGAATTCATAGTTACATATTAATAAATAAAATTTACAGCAAATTTAACTATATATGATTTTTTAAATAGAAGAGCAACTGATTGCACTTATTAATTTCATAAATTTATGTTGTACTTATTTGGCTACAAAAAATACTTTAATTTTTTCCCTTTTCCTGATGAATAGGTAGATCTCTGCTGAACGCCCCTGACCAAATTACTCATTTTAATTTAGGGTTGAGGTTAAAAATTATTTTAATTTGAGTGACAAACAGATTTTATGTAAAATGTAACTATAACACAACATAAAACATATATAATGATATACAACACATAAATTTTAAATAAATTTTTAATTTCAGTTATATTTTTTACTATGAAAACATATGCTTAATATATGCAAGGAAATAGAAAAATATATAAAAGCATAGACAGCAACCACGCCAAATGACGTTAAAGGTATGCAAGTTATGTGCAACATTTACCAAAATATAAAACAAATAAATTTTGCTTGCTATTAGCATTTTCAAAGACAAGAGGAACAGCTCAAAATTTAATATAAAGACCCTGTCTTAGTATAGTGATTCATAGATATGGCAATTTATACCAGTAATAAACTTATTTAAAAAAACTGGTTCAATGCTTATGCGCAATTTTGCCTGTTATTAACAAAAATAATATTGCAATTTTTTTATAATCTTCTTAACAAAAATAATATTGCAATTTCTTTAAAATCATCCTTACTAAAAAGTGCAATCAGTCTGACATTTTCATTTAAATCTATGAAAAATGCCGTTGTTGCTAAATCTTATTTTAAGCCCTGAAAATCACTAATTTCTTAAATGTTTAGATGCAGCATATATACATAATATAGTATAAGAAACGCAAAAATATATAAAATAAATTGTTGGTTAATGAAACAAAACACATTAAACAAAACCAAAATATTATTAAAAACAATTAAACATACATATTTTCACAAATACTTATTTTTGTACACATTTTACCCGTTAAGATAATTAGATGCAGTTTCTTTCATAAAACACTATATGATTAAATAAGCTGTACAAAACAAATAAAAGTGGTATTAGAAAAATAGAATGAAATAAATATTTTAAGTTTGAAATGCAAAAAATGCATGTTCAAATACAATCAATCTAATGTCCATAATACAGCAATAGATATTTATCTTCCATTTACATGGAATATTTAATCATAGGAATTATACAGTAAAAAAATTGCTAAGTGACATAACAGTATCAAAAAGTTTACAGTTACAGATGAATTTTATAGTAAATTAAAATTAATTTTTTATACTAACTCAACATTATAGTAACATAAAATATTACACATACATTAATAATGACAATTTTAAACTGCAGCAACATGATTAAAAGTTAGTTTGTTTTTTTAAATATTGAATTGAAATACAAGCCACCTGATTTGATACACAAACCCATTTAATTATTTCTTAAAATTTCCAAACTTTACCATAAGATGAATTGCACAGACATTATGGGTAAGCAAAAATCTTTTTTAAAACTTAATAGAGAATTCAAACTCATAAAAGATTAAGTGACTTGCTATATTCAAAGTATTACACTCTAAGCATAACCATTAATAACTAATGTTTCCATACCTGAAACTTCAATCCAATTCATTGTGATTTAAATTAACTGGAAATCATGAAGAATAGCATAAAATAGGCCAAATAATACAATGTGTCATTGAATTGATATGATTTATGCAGTTAAATGAGTATGACTTGAAAAGAAATAAAAGTTGTAGGAAATTACAGACAGCACATTTTAAATAGAAAAAAACATTTCATTCAGTTGTAAAATACAAAACAAAATATTTTCAATCATGTCAAACCTTCAAATCAAATTATTTTTAACCAGAAGCTTCTCAAATATGATGAGCACTTCATATACATTTGAAAATAAAAAAAATACCCAAAAATTAACTCATCACATGTCAAATTTGGATCGCAGAATAGACAAATGAATTCTTCAGCCTTTTTTGTTCTTTTTATCTAACAATAAATTTGATAATATTTTCGAAAAGTAGTTATACACACAAACAAAATGTGTCATATTATTTTGCATATTACTAATAATGGGACAAAAAAGATGTTAACTTTTAGTTAATAAAAAAAATCCTAACTAAAACTAGAACTACAGTGAAAAAAAAGCTGGATTTGAATATATAACTTAAACATTTTTATACAGGTTATAAAAAATAATAATTCATAGTTAATTTAATAATAAATAATAACTAGATATTATAGCTTAAAATGAAAATAAAAGATGGTGAATTATAAATACCTTTGAAATATCAAAAATAGCTCATTAATCCGCAAAATTTAAAACATATCTTAAATCAAGATAAGAATTTTTATCAAATTTATTTTAAAGAAAAGCTTCTTAAAGCGTGAATAGAGCATGACTGTTTGAATATAAATGTACTTTTACATCAACATTAGTTCTTCTAGCTATCAAAGAATTGAATTAAGAAAGACAATAAGTTTATTTGATGAAAGTTTAAGTGATTTATGGGTAGCATATATTAAATAACAAAAATGGTTTCATACAGTTATCAAGTATTACAAAATATCAAGCATTTTAAAACAAATAAAGTTTTTTATTCAAATTGATTTTAGTTGGAAACTTAAAAATAAAGAACAGCACAGGATTGTTTAGGCAAAATAAAATTTATCTTTAAATTAAGGTTAAATTTTCAAGCTAATGAAAGATTTTAATCAAAAAATCAATTCAATTTCATATCACTTTACATTATTTACTGTTCAATAAATTGAATAATATTTATAAAAAAAATTAGTTGCACAGTAACAAAATGAATCATATTATTATTAATCATATTGGCAAATTTCTGAAAAGATGTCTGAATTTCTAAATAATTGGGATAAAGAACCATAACTAAAATTATATATAAGAAAATGTACTGTAACTTAAAAAATGTGGTGGACATGACTTGGTCATATTAAGTTTAACAATAAATAATAATTAAATAAAATTAATGGATTAGAATCACTCTATCCCTGTAAAAAAATAACAAAAGAGGGAAAATTGGACAAAACAAAAAATGAAAAAAAAAACTTTTCCTAAGAAACTATCTATTTGAGTGAAATTACAATTTATATTTTGAATGATAAATTGGTGCTTAAGGTTAAAAAAAATTATAATAATAAAAAATAATGAAAATATTTAAATTTGGGAAGCGAAGGAAAAAAATATATGTATGCAAGTACATGGTTTTATTCACCTGGTTGTACAAAAGAATATAAACCAAAATGCATAAGAAAAGAAACATTCGACTAAACAATTTTATTTTTAATAAAATATTAGCATAATATCCTTGAATGCTTTGATGAACATATGTAAATATTCATAAATAAATTTGAAAGTTATTTATTTTGTATAATAATAAATAATGTTAATTGATGAAACATGGATGTCAACTTTTCTTGCTCTTGGTGAGAGACTTTTTCAAAGTGGAAAAATTTATATATTAACATTTCATGCTTAGTTTTAAATACTTTTGACCACCATAACCTATAATTCATATAAAAATCATGCATGATTTTAATTCTTACAAAACTAAAAAAGTTTAGCTAAACTCATTTATTATTTCACCAAGTTTAAATATTGCAAAGAGCTAGAACTACTGGATTGACAACTGTGATAAAATTTGAAAGAAATTTTAAGGGGAAAAAAATCACACAAAAAATTTTAATCTCATTTATCTCTATTGGCTTTATTATACATCTTTTTTTACAGTTTAGCAAATTTTGCTTTGTTTAAAGTCATTTCACACACTTCATAAGATAAAAGAATGTTATATATATAATTAAGCAAATAGCACCACTGATATAGCAAAAAACTGTCCTTTTTTGGTTTTATCCAACTTTCCTCTACTTTTTCAAAATACAATAGCTTTCATCATTTATAGTTCTTTTGCCTTTATAGGTCATATTAATATTTAATTTCACTTTAACACAAATATATTTGATCTGTAAGTTGAATACATGGTCACATATTTTATATTTCTATGTTATGGTTTAGCACAGGTACAAGTTATCTCCATTTCCTCTCAAACATATTTTATTTTAGGTCAAGTGCAGGGTCACTTCTTTTACATTAATTTTTCATTTTAGCATGGTTGCAAGTCATCCCAATTCAATGTAATACAAAATATATTTCATACATGGTCACATTTTTTTACATTTAAACCTCATTCTTAGATGGTTCCAAATAATCATCATTCATGTTATCATAAATATATTTAGTTTATAAGTCACATGCATGGTAATATAAGTTTGATTTTGTCCTTTTTCTCTCATTGAATAGCTTCCTTTAAGCAAACATACCAAATTTTTAATTTTCATTTGCACCTTGCTAATAGTAGTAAATAAAAAAATGAAATACCTGATAAATGTCATTAAAACTATATAAAACAAGTTTTTAAATCAACATTCTTTCCTTTTACTAAATTTTTTTATAATTCTTTAAATGATTTTTTTTTTCTGGAAAAAAAAATAGCAGTTTTGGCTTACAATATAATATATTATGTTTATTTGCATTTAAAAGTAAATTTTATAACCTAATTTTGACACACATTTAAACACAAATGTATAATTTCAAAAATTACTTATCATATTAGTTATTTAGCATAATCATAATACTTATCTTATTTGCAAATTTTTTTTAAAGAATAAATTCAATGATTGGGCTAAGTAGAACTGTTATTAAGATAAAGCCAATAATATTCTTTCATTTTTTTTTTAACTTACACACTGAAAATGGAAAAGTGTGTCATTTTAGCCTTTTTAGTGACATAGGAATGTATTGACAATTATTAAAATTATTAGAAATCCAACAAATTACGCTTAATTATAAACCAAAGGCTGGAAAACAAGAAAAGTTAAATAAAATCAGGATTTCTTTTAAATGCAGAATGTATCTAAAATAAGAGTTATCCCAAAATATATTTAATGTTATTTATTTACGATGTAATCAAGACTTTCATTCTAATTATAAAAAATGTCTGCAAGTTGGAGTTATTAGAATTATAAAGAGAAGAAAATAGAATAATTCAAAACAAGTAGAAACCAAAACACTTGAAATTAGAATTTAAAAATAAAAAAATAAAAACATGAAACTATTTGTTTTCTGATATTAAATCTAAATTACGTAAACAAAAACAACTAACTCAGATTTTTTTTCTTTTAAAAAAAAGTGTGAATTCTAAACCTGGCGCCGTTTCTATTTGTATCATTATAATGGCATACACAGTCAAGATGGTTATTTAAAAAAAACTATTCAAAGCTAAACATGTCATTTATGAAAACTGTAAGTGAATAATTATAGATAGTGTCTCAAAGAGCTAAGAGAAAATACAAAATCATTTATACAAGTCTCTTTTGAAAACTGTGGTATACATTATGAATAATAGGCCCTTATTAGCAATATATTTTATTTTTAAAAGCTAAAAATACTTAATACTATGTTCAGTTAAGGATCACACAACTGATCTAACTCACATAATAGTCGGACATATCACATTGATTGATTCAAGACACATACAACTTTAAGATACCTTAAAGAAGCACCATTTCTTTGGGAGTAAGATAATATTTACAGCTACATACATTTGCACACCACACACATATATTTTCCTACAGTATAGACACTATAAATACAAGACTAAAGCAATTATATGTCCACAAATTTATGTGTTTGCCAAATATCTCACTAAATGCCTGAAAAATTACCTTTAAAATTATTTTAATATTATAACAAGTGAATATATAGTCGTAAATTTTAAATGATGCAGCTGACAGAGTTAGAAAAAAGAAGTGTTTTTTTGTCTCGTTTTTTTTTGCTATTACATCCTCTTATACAGAGAACTTCGAATAACATTAAAAATTAACGTAACAATGAACTTCTTACTATGAACTAATTCAGTTATAATATCAAGAAAGAAAGAAATTATAAAATAGACTTGAGTAGCCTCTTTTTAATTTAAATAGATATGAAGTGCTGAGTCTTTTTTTAAATTGTTAATTGAATGATACAGCTTTATAATAATTATGCACTAGCACACAGCTCTGCATCTAGTACTTAAGAGAACTTAAACATTTTTAGTCGTAGAAACTTTGAAACACAATAATAGTCTGCTTGAAGAACCAAAAAATTGTTTAATAATTTTTAGCTTGTGCATTAATTTTATTTACAAAGATAATTACATTTGCTTCCTCATCTTTATCATCTGTCAAAATCTTTTATCATTATCATTCAAATAAGAATCCATTGATGTATGATACTGAGAAATAGCGAAAGCATAGAAATTAATGTCTGCTCATGTGGAGTCACCGTTTTTCACAAGAAATATAGAATTGCAGCTAGTCAGCATTTAAATAATTAGTAAAAAATGCCCACTTTGCTTCGTGATTATTCAACACTACAATAAATTTCAAAAATTAATTTTATTATAACATGGATTACAAATTAAGACTGAATTCCACCAAGATGCCAAGTGTACACTTCTAATTTCCAAATCTGCTCGCTAAAACTACTAATTTATATTAAACTTAAACTCAACCATTAAAGGGTAATGTAAGAAACACGTTATGTAAAAGAAGAAAGAAAAAAAAACAGTAAGGTATCTAACATTTTGAAAAATTATGAAAATAAGAGAGAGAGATATTTGTGAGAAACTGGCATTTGGACTAAAGTTTGTACATGTATAACTTCATGAGTGTTTATACAACAATTGAATTTTTTCTCAACATAGATTCCATAATTATTTTAATCAGTTTGAACCTTTGCAAGAAAGAAGGCTGATAATTAAATTAAACTCGCCTAAATAAATTTAAACATTACTGCAGTTTAAAAGTAATAAACATTATTGTTCTCAAAAACTGATCAGTAAAGGATAGTTAATGTAAGTTGCATAGTTTTAATGTTATTTTGATTTTCGTATTTTGCATTTTAAAAGTTTTTTATTTGCTCAATGTCTAAGATGTTAAACTATGTGCTCTAAATGTGAAATGAGGTTCTATCATATTAATATGATATCATGCATTATATATGTGTGTGTGGATGTATGTGTATACATATGTTACTAAAATAAAATACATTATCTTTCAATTCAGTTATTAAGAAATTTTAAAAAAATTACAAATATATGATATCAGTGGTTAAAAGAGATAAGAATACAAAAACAAAACTGCTGTACATTTGATAAACAAAATGAAGAGGTCAAATGATTTATAATGCTTATTATCAGAATATTTACTAATTAAAATTTTAAAAAAAAAATTTAAAGTTTACAAGTAGGAAGGAAGTGATGAAACAACTGACCAGCAGAGTTCCATTCTTCTCACTAAACATATTTCAAGAAGCACTGTATTAAAAACTTATTTAACATGTTGACTGCAAAACCTGTTTTATGAATTTCCAGCTCAGAATTATCTTGTAATTATATATTTTTTGTTATTTTAAATATTGACAATATTAAAAGTGATACAAGAGATACTTTAGTAAAATGCGAAGAAATACTTTCAGGGATTAAATTTATTTCAAAATGAAAAATAAATATAGGTAAGAAAATTGAACAAACTTTATTTTTTAAAGGTATTTGGAAATTTTCTGTAAGTTAGCAAACCAGAATCTAAATTTGGAAATAAACTACAAATCACCTACATGTAAAACACTTAAATAATTGAATGCTTATTTAAGTAGTATGAAACAAAAATGCTCCTAGAAGAAGTAAACAGAGGTAGTAATAAAATTATAAATAAGGGTATGTATGAAGTAGTTATGAATTTTTCAGTCCATCCTTGTTTCTTCCTGAAACATCTTAATATTTTAACAAACTTGAACTTTTAAACTGATTTTGTGTAAGTTTGTAAGCATTCTTGGTATGAAACAGTCAACATGTTTTCATATGTATGTTTTATTTATTTATATATATATATATATACATATNTATATATATATATTTTCATTTAAAAAAATGATATTTTTAATATCCACCTAAGCCTGATTAAGAAATTTGTAGCAAGCATTTAAGTTTTTCAAATTGAGTATAAATAAAGCTATTTTCGCAATGTAAAAAAAAATATTGAGTTTAAAAATACTATTTTATCTGAAGATTTGAGATGAAGTTAATGATAATTCTGCATATCATAAATTATTCATTTAAAGATAATGCAACAGACAAAGAAGAAAAAAGAAAAACATCTACATACTAACAATTTTGTATGGAACTTAACTTTGGCACTTGCTGTCAGGTATAGATTTTGTCCATAATGTCAAACATTTCATAAGTAATTCGGTTGTTGTTTACACATTAGCTATTTACCTTATAAGACACATAACTCTGTACATTCGTTTCTACCTCCTTTAAAGTTCAAATTTTTCAGAGGGGGAAATCAGGGCATCTTTCCCATAATGATGCAATGAACTAAAATGCAATCCCTGCCATTTTAGAATTCAGGTACAGGCAGCATGCCACAGAGGCCATGTTAATAATAGGAACATTCATAAGAGCAACTAATAGTTTTGTAATCTCAGATCTTTAGTGCTTGAGCTTAAACTTAGCTCAGTGTCAAGCATCGACTTAAAGTTCACAAAAATGGATCAATAATAAAACCCACATAAGATTCCAGTTTAAGAAGTGACTACAACTCAGAAGACTTATACACACATGCATTCAAAAATCATATTATATCTCTAAAAGTTTTGTGTTAACGATAATATAACTTCATTTTTACATTTAAACATAGTACTTAGATAACAGTAATTAAAAGTATAGCAATTTGATTGTTACATCAGCAATAAAAAATTTTTTTTAGTCATAAAACAATAAGAGAGGTAAATATCTAATTATAAAAATCAAATCAATAAAATTCATTCAAATTTTAAGAAACTTTTTCTTGTTGTTCATAGCATAAAAAGTGTCACTCCTAAAATAAACTATTTAATTTACATAATTTAAATTGTTTTATTTTTCTGGAAAATGTAACAGATTTTGGATGGGTACACTGTAATGATAAACAGAGTTTAAAATGACGAAGATATTATGTAAAACTTTTCCCTTTCCCCCTGCACAGGCTAGTATTAAGAAGAGCAATTACTTATCAGAGTAGAACTGACTGTAGTGATAAACTTGTACTAGCTTGATAGAAGGCACAAGGAAATCTTGTGAATTACAAGAGATATTTTAGAAAGAGCATATAGTTTTAGTCTGTACTTCCAAGCTGAGTTACATCCATTTTGAGAAGAGAACTCTTTTAATCACTGACCAATATCCAGTACATGGCAAAGCAGTGTTTCTTTTTGTACATTCTATATACTAGATTCTTTTGGCGGTAAAATTGGAGGAGATCTAGAAACTGGCTCAATATCTGGGCAAATATTTGAGGTAGCAGTAGAACATGATATTTCTGTCAAAGATAAAAATATGAAATTAAAAACAATGTTTCAATTTTAAAACATATATAATTCTTTCAATAATACAATTGTAGTACTTATGCAACACGCTACCTTACAAATCCTTTTGATCTAAAGCAAAATGCTTAGAATCATGGAACATTTTCAATTCACTCATTGTTACAACAAAATTAAAAATTATTCGAAAGAAAAGATCCTAAAAATTTTAATTGTACTTATACAGATTTAGTTTCTAAATCAACTGCGATAAAATTTTAATTGAATCATTTTTTTCTACCATTGCAACTTCATCTACAATTTTATTTTCCTAAAATCTTACTTAATTTTTGGTTAGCATAAAAGCTGAAACTTTTTCCACCAAACAAATTATTTAGTAATAAGTGGATAAGTTAATTAGGAGTAATTTTTCACAGTTTTGTATCCATTATTTCAATTGCATATGTTGACTGGAAACAGATTACATAAAGCTTATCATAAAAGCTAGTAATTTATTTACTATTAATAATTGTGAAACAGTTAATAGTTATATATTATTTTAAATACATTTATCAAAAAATGTTGCATAATAAAATAACACATTACTTTGTAATTAAAGTATACCACTCCTAATTTTAAGCATTTAATTTAGAATAATAATCAAAAGTTAAAACATAAAAATAGAGAAGTATACAAAGACAGGATTAATAAATATTGCAAAAAAATACAGTTAAATAAGGAAAGCATTAGTAACTTTTGCATAAATAATACCAGGTTATTTTTTTGTTAACTTTTATGCTGATGACAATCACAGAAATTAAGGAATGTTAATTCGTTAATTAAGAAACAGTACTATGTAATTTTTTGGTCCATTGGAGAGTGCAAACACCAATGAGAAACAGTTCAGAGAAGGGAAATAAAACATTTTGTATATTTGTTACACCAATAAAATCTTAATAAAAAAAGCATCTTCGTTAAAAAAATATATATATAAATTTTCTTAAGCACAATTAAAGAGTTTATGTTGTAAAAATTGTTATAAAATGTTCAATAAAAGAAATTTAAATGGTATTAAACTAGGCTTAAGAGAAAAAAAATAAATAAAATTAAAGACATAAGATTTATAGTGCATCAAGATTAAAAAACCATATGCACATGGGATGAACTAGAGTTAATACTACACAGTTAAGAAAAATCTTAAGACAAATAACTAATTAAACATTTTTGATTTGTTTCTTTTTTTAATATAAATATATATATAGTAAAATCTCGCTATAACACTATTTCTGGGAATAAATAATATATTGTTGTAGAGGGATGTATTGTTATATTGAGGGCCTACACACTTTGGGAACACAATAAGACTTTTTTTAAAATTTTAATGTTAAATATGTATCAACTATAAACGTATATATTAATTTGCAGATAGGTTATTTAGGATGAAATATTAAAAACAATTGAAATAAAACAGACAGCAAATATACCTGAAAACCGTTTTTATTGAAAATAATCCGATATTTTTGTTTGTTTATTCCCCCGAGGCAGAATCGTGGTAACACGGCGACATTGTCCCAGAACATTACTGAGTTCTTGCAGAAGGATTTTTCCTTTGTGAAATAAAAAATTTTGCTTTTCTTTTCAGCAGAAATTTTTGAAAGATTTTATCTTTTCTTCGGAATTATAATCAAAAGATGCCTTTCTCGCGCTTCGGAGTGGGAAAAACATGCTTGTGACTTTTCTATTCTCATTGGAGAAAAATGAAAAATAAAGAATAATAAAGTAAAAAATTTGGTTTTCGTTTCTGTGGAAATTTTCGCTCCAATTTTTCATGCAGTTATAACTACTGATTTCCACATAGCTTTTAAAATCCGATGTTAATTATCACAACAACTAAATCTCGAAATGAAAACATGCATTTAGTAACCTCTTTTTGAAGAGTGCGTTTCGTGTGATTTCGTCGTCTATCTTTTTTATTGGCAGTTACTGCTACAGATTTCACTATTTTATTTTTTTAATATGATGATGAATTATAAAATGCGAGAATATCGCCCATAATATTAGAATAAAAAATCACACATGCAATTAAAAAAATTATTTTATTTGATCCAATTTTTGTTTATTTAATTAATTTAATTTTTTTAAAATTCGTATATTTCTTATTGTTAAATATTTGCAGAAAGATATTAGTATTAATGAGGTATGTCGCAGAAAGCCCGAAAAAATTCTGCTACAGGGGTTTATTCATTCTTTTGACTGTTAAGTCAATCAACAAAGTATGCATTGAGTTTAAAATACGAAAATGACTTTCGTTTGCGAATGGTGCTCCACCCACCCTCTAAGTAAAAAATTTTCTTTCAGGTGTTAATATGATGCTTTTGTTCATTTGTGACTCATGACCAGGTTTTAACATGAAGGAAATGAAATCAAATAGGAATATTATGTCTGTGACTTCTTAAGAGATATGGTGGGCAATTCTAAGAATGGAAGCTCTTCGGGTGGTCAGCAGTGGGTTTTTTCTTGTCAGAAAAAAATGGGAAAATGGCAAAAGATGATAAAATAAGACTTTTTACATTATTTGAAAACTAAGAATAATGAAAAAAATAAGGTTAAAAATTTGGAAGAAAAAAATATTTTTTTACAGTTGTTTATTGCTTTAGAGAATATCGTAATATCGAGAGGAGAATAACATTAATTCATATGAAAGTTTGTCGGGACCATGAAACATTATCATAATAGCGAGAGTTATTGTTGTAACGGAAATCATAGTAGTGAGAGTTCACTGTATATATATATGTATACATACAATATATATATGTATGTATACATACATACACACATTTATATATATATATATAAATATATAGATAAATATATATATAATAAAATAAATAAATACAAGAAAAAAGTTAAGAAAAACAATAAGTTTCATTTATTGCGCATAAGCTCCAAGTAAACAGAACTCATTAGATAAGTTCAAAATGAAGATAAAACAAAGGAAAATTATGGACATATGAAAAAAAGGGGGGGAATAACAATGAAAAAAAATAACAAACTGATTTTAAAAAAAAGGGATGAAATTTTCTAAAAAACCAGAAAATAAAAGATATAATCTTTTCATAAGCCCACACGATTATATCCACAAAAAAGAGTGCTTTCTGATATTGTATCAATATAGCCAAAGCAAAATATATTAATACAATAGTGTGAGGAGCACTCGAAAAAATTTTTTTACAAAAATTACAACAAATAAAAATAACATGTAAAAACAGAAAATAAAATAAAAAGAAAAAACAGTATAAAACAAAATCTCTAAAGCGAGTAGCGAAATCAGATGTACTTACATGAACAGGAAATTTTCAAGAATGATTTAAAAATATTTTCGCAACAAGAATGCCAGATTACAAAATATGAAAACAAGTTGACCACAAATAATTTTAGAAAATAAATATTTATTTAAGAAAAAATAGAAAAGAGAAACATAAATTGCCTGTTTTGCAAATAATTTTGGCCACGGATTTGCCCAAAATGGATTTGCACATGGAAAAGTTATACAAATTATCAAAGAAAAGAAAAATTTAGTAGATAATTTTAGCACGGATTTGCCCGAAATGGATTTGCACATGGAAAAATTTTATAAATCAATAAAGAAATTTCTAGTAAATAATTTTACCCAGCGATTTGCCCGAAATGGATTTGCACATGGAAAAATTATAAAAATTAACAAAGGAAATTTTTAGTAAAGGAATTTTTCAGTAAATAATTTTGACCACAGATTTGCCCGAAATGGATTTGCACATGGAAAAATTATACAAATTAACAAAGAGATTATTTAGTAAATAATTTTGGAAAGCGAATTTTCCCGAAATGGATTTGCACGTGGGAAAATTAAATAAATTTATTTGTTGCAATTTCTGTAAAAAAAAAATGTTTGAGTGCTCCTCACACTATTGTACAGTATGGAACCGATTATCCGGAACGGTCAGGACCATCGCTATTCCGGATAACTGATTTTTCCGGTTTTCTGAATCGCTACAAAAAGCTGTTTTTTTATAGTTAAACCCAACTAAAAAAAAATATTTGGAAATAATCTTAAAAATAAGAAAAAACGATGAAGTAATACACTAATAATTATTTCCAAAATGATGGTACGGTAAACATCTTTAAAAGAAAAAAGAAAAATCGTAAAATCTCATGAGGAAAAAAAAATTTTTTTTAAAAAATGGCGAAAAAAAATTATTGAATTTCGTTCTGGTTTTTTGATTTTCTGATTTCCGGATAACAGGTTCTGAACTGTATTAATATATTTTGCTTTGGCTATATTGATACAATATCAGAAAGCACTCTTTTTTGCGGATACAATTGTGTGGGCTGATGAAAAGATTATGTCTTTTATTTTCCGGTTTTTTAGAAAATTTCATTCTTTTTTTTTTTAATCAGTTGCCTTGCTACTTTTTTTCATTATTATTCCCCCCCTTTTTTTCATATGTCTATAATTTTCCTTTGTTTTATTTTCATTTTGAGCTTATCTAATGAGTTCTATTTACTTGCAGCTTATGCGCAATAAATGAAACTTATTGTTTTCCTTAACTTTCTTCTTGTTTTCTTGTACAGCAGGGAACCGATTATCCAGAACGGTTGGGACCATCGCTTTTCCGGATAATTGATTTTTCCAGTTTTCTGAATTGCTACAAAAAGCCGTTTTTTTAATTGTTAAATCCAACTAAAAAAAAAATTGGAAACAATCTTAAAAATAAGAAAAAACGATGAAGTAATACACTAATGATTTTTTCCAAAATGATGGTAAGGTAAACATCTTTAAAAAAAGAAAGAAAAATCGTAAAATCTTATGAGGAAAGAAAATTTTTTTTTTTTTTAGAAAATAGCGAGAAAATTTATCGAATTTCGTTCCGGTTTTTTGGTTTTCTGATTTCCGGATAACGGGTTCTGTACTGTATTTATTTATTTTATTATATATATATATATATACATGGGTGATTCTCACGAAATATGACAATTCACTCTCCCTTGCTCCAGGATCTAATACCATAACAGTAAAAGAACTTTTTTTTAAAAAAAATTTATAAATTGCATTGCTGTTAGCATTTTAAAATGACTTTGCACTAGCATTGACTATTTTGTATAGTTAAAAAATTTAATTGAACTTCATATTGTCATTTTCCTGGCATGTTCCAAACAATGCCTCCTGTAATAACTAGCTTCAAAACTTCCCATAAATTTTTCAATATCTAATTTTTTTTTACTCAATCGGTGTAAGCATTTATAGAATATATGCAGAGGGTATTATTTACAAAAACTTCGCTTAAAATAATTTTTTCTGTCAGTAATTTGTTTGTCCCAAGAAAATCTGTCATTTTCGTGGCTACTTTTATTTAGTGGTTTTTAACCAAAATAGATAGAGCCAGCTTTCAGTATCTTATGTTAATAGATTGATTAGATACCTTCCTATATGAATATGTCTTGTTGCATGAATAAAGAACCAAGTTTCTGGTTCAAAGTCTATTTCAAAAAAATTTTCAAGATGAGTAGATTTTTGTGTTGTCATTTTCCTGTTTCCTGGCTTCTTGAAATCATTAATAACATAAACTACATAGATTTATCTGAGTTATTTTAAGAAATCCTGTTGTTTTTTTGCAGAATGTAAACGTCTTAGAACAAAATATTAAATTAAAGTAAAGTTATATCCTATAAAATGGCGAATTTGTCATTATCCTGGCTTATGAATTTCAGGACATTGAAGTGTTACCAAAAATTTTTTTTAACTGCTAATACTGTAAGAAGGGAAAGCAAATATTGACCTAATGCCAAGTTTATGCATGATTGTAATATGGTTGGATTTTGGATGGTCAAAGCTATTTATTTATTTAATAACTGATTATTATACACAATTTTATTCTGTGCATATCAGCAACAACAAAAAAATTTTATTCTTTCTACAGTGGATAAAAAGAATTAATTTAAGGAATTTATGGCCCATCTAACATAAAGGCTTAAGTTGAGTTACTTACTATTAACTTAAAATGACTGTTTTTTAAACTTCTAAGCTAATATGTCATTTTCCTGGCATTCAAGATTTGGTGAATTTCTATTTTTTTCTTTTTTCTCGAGTAAATGTCAATAAACTACACTGCTGTCTGTAAGATATTAATAAATGTAACTAAAGAAGCGTACAAAAAAAATTAGATTATTTTGAAGACTTTAAATTTGAAGAAATTTTTCGGTCCGAATTGTCATGTTTAAAAAGAATCACATATATATATATTATATATATATAAATGAACTGATTTAAAAAGAACTATTAGGACTATTTATTAATAGGAAGAAAAAAAAATTCAGCCAGTGCTGAATATTTAGCAACAACCAAATATTTGGAGCAATACTATTAGTAAAATGTATAAACGCATTGCTCTACAATACTTTTCAGTATTTTTTCTAAATTTCTTTACCTTTTTTATTATTAAAAGTTGTGAATATCAATTTTTAAATTGAACTGCACAACTCTGAAAAAAATATCTAAAAATTCATAAGATTTCAATATAATCTTAAAAAAGTAAATACCAATTACTTTCATAGATAAAAGAAATTTTTTTATGTTCTATAACAATGTATAAATTATATTTTAGAGTTAGCTAGAAAATCCAATGAATTACAGAACTACATAAAAAATTACATTTTATTAAAGCTGATAATTTTTAAAAATTAAGCAAAACTGATTTTAATTATAATTTAAATGACTACAATCTGTCTAGGTATTTCAAAATTGCAAAATTGATTACATGCCAAAATTCGAGCTATTGTAATGAAAAATTTTATCAATAAACACATAATAATTGGATATAAATCAAAATGTATTCTGCAGGTTTCATGAGATGCAGGCTCAGATGATACTCTACTTTTATGTCCAATTCGATAAATATTGAGAATGCCCTCAAAGCAAGTTGAATGTATTCAGCATTAATTCTGATGCTATTCCTAAAATAAATTCATCTCTTGATAACTTTAGGTTACATTTACTCCAGAAAGTATTTTACAGGTAGATTTATGAAGTTTAACTTCCACCAAATCAGGTTAGCATTTCCTAATCGCAGGGTTGATTATGGTAGTTGTCTCTAATTCCCTTAAAAAATTTTAAAACATTTGGAAAAATGTAAAAATAAATATAATTAATGTATTTAGGTAATAATTTCTTTTACTTATATCTTCCACATTTTTATTGGACAAAAAAATTATGTAATTTATACATTGTTTTTCACATAAGTCATAATACCCAGCCAGAAAATAAATCCAATTTTTCCCTGCTATACTGATTCTGCATAATTGTAGCATCTACTAAATCTTTACTTTATAATAATTACTGAATTTAACACAATATTTAAATCAAGGAAAACAACTTCATAACACTGATGTAAACACTCAAAATAAATTATACACTACAAAATAAAATAACCTAAGACACTATCATAATCAAGTTGGTGTGCAAAAGTCTTTGGCCAGTGGGGTCATCCCATGTCAGTTCACCCAGCCATGGTACCACCATGATCTTAGTTTTTGATGAAAAATTGTACACTTGTAAAATTATTGATGCTGATTTTAGAAATATCAATAATATTGGAATCGGTAAAAGATTTTAAAAGTTATAATCATTTATTTCTTGCCGAAATTGCATCTTTGCCGCCATTTTCATTTATACATCAGAGGCCATTCATGACTGTAACTCATGTTTGTCCTAGAATAATAATTTTTTTTATTTTGTTCAGAAGAAAGTAGTCTGTCACATAAACACACATTTTTACAAATAAATATTTGACTTGTTTAACAATAAAATTTTGCAGTTTTTTGATCAACAGAGTTGAGTAACTTCAGCAGCTGATTTCTGCAAACTCGCCCCCTTCAATTTCAAAAATATTTTAACCAATAATATTTGTAAGTGCACACTAACATCTGATAAAAAAAAATTTATGGCAGTTCGCACACTTTTTTTAAATGAAACATTTGGTAATAGCATATTTCATTCTAAATAGCAACAACATATTGATTATAATTTTTAAAAATAAACATTGAATGAGCTAACTTTTTAGTTTGAAGTAAATGCATTAAAGATAAAAGAATTCAAAATTTCTGTTGAAAAACTTTAAAAAAAAAAACAATATTAACTCTTAACTTTAAATAAAAATCAGGCGCTTTTAATTCCTTAAATCTATTTTCCTGTTGTAGAAGAATATTTTTTTCATTGTTTACACACTGAAATGTTTGACTCATCATTGAGCTTGTATGTTCTTTCTGTTGTGTTATTAATGTCAACTGTACAAAGAATTTTTGTAAAAGGAACTAAGCAAGTATCACTTTTTGACAGTTATCAGACAGTTGGTGTTATAAAATCATTTCATTTCAACACAATAAAAATAAATAGAAAAAACTATATTGAACTTTATTAGTTTCAAATGAACTTCTTTGAGAGAAACTCATTAGCACAACAATTATTGTAATGTCATTATTATATAGTGAACAATCATTAAATATCAAGTATAAAATTAACTATAAATATTTATAATTTGGTCTTCAATTACATTTTAGAATCAAACAAAATGTTTGAATTTAAAAAAAAAATACAATGACTTTCTCTCTGATATTATTCAACATTACAGATTGTGATTTTCTCCTTCCCTAAAGATCAAAGTGAACATAATTAAAAAAAATTTAATGGCTGCTCTTCATTATTTGGTATAGCCCTCTAATCTTTCAGAAAAAAAATTATCTATATTTTAATAGATTCTGAATAAATTTATTTATAAAAAAGATGAAATTCCATTAATTTTCAATCGTTTTACCTTCTTTTTTTCTTTCCCTTTTTAAAGGAGGAGGGCTCAAAGAAAGAAGAAAAAAATTATTTTATAAATGGTCACTTAATTTTACAAATTTTTCTACGATTCACGTTTTTCTAAATCATTTTATTGTACTTTAAAAGCAATAATCATCAAACTGTCAGTACTTAAAATGATCATACGAAAAATATTTCTCAAATAAATGCATTTGAGCCACCTCAACTCTGTTGATCAAAAAACCGCAAAATAGACCAATTTACTAAACAAGTAAGATAGGTATTTGTAAAAAAATGTGTTTAAATGACAGATGACCTATTTACTAAACAAGTAAGATAGGTATTTGTAAAAAAAAAATGTGTTTAAATGACAGATAACTTTATACTAACAAAATTTTTAAAAAATTTTGTTTCAGGACAAATATAAGATGAGTTACAGTCATTAATAGTCTTTGATGTGTGAATCAAAATGGTGGCAAACATGCCATTTTCGCAAAAATATAAATGCTTATAATTTTTAAACCCTTTTACCAATTCTAGTATTACTGATATTTTTGAAATCAGCATAAAAAATTCTATAAGTGTACAAGTTTTCATCAAAATCTGATATGGTGGGTGCCATTTTTGAAAAATCCTGTATGATTTGACGTGGAATGATCCAGAGACAGTATTTTTATTCTTTAAAATCTAAACAAATTATTTATTTTACCAATCATATCTCCACAATTCCACAAGACATTTAGAGACTAAATCTGCTGTGTTAGATATCGTTTACATGCAATGGGTAAAATGAAAATTATGAATTCAATGGGTTCAATTTATGAATGATTCCAAGTGGTGGATTCCATTAACTAGTCTTACATATCTAATGCAAAAAAGTTGTTAGCAAAGTGTGATTTGTTGCCTACTCAAATACAAAATAGGACATTAGCAACATCAGTTTCAATGAGACAGTAATGACACTCACTAAATTTGGAAAAGAAGAATGTTAAGATTAAAATTTTTTTTAAAAAAATCAGAAAAGGTAGTTCTTCTCTTACACATAAATAAAAAAATTCATTTTTAGAAATATAACTTACCTTTTACCATGCTCATTTGTGTTCTTGGATAAGGAGGCTGAGTTTTGTACAAGAAGCTTATTCTCTCTTGGACACAGCTAGCAGAAAGCCTAGCTTCTGCATCTTGGTCAAAACACTCTTCAATTGTGTCACATAATGAGCTAATTCCCTGTTTAAATGCAAAAGTAGAAAAAAAAAATACAATTCAGTAAAGGAACAAAAATAAAATGCACATAACATTTTTTTCCTACTTTTTATAAAAATCACAGTTATACAACATTTATTACAGCTGCATAATATTTAAATTACACTAAAAATATTTTTAATGCAATCAATTTTTATGTCTATTGGATGTAACAGCAATGCAAAACTGTAAAAACTATAAATAAACTATTCTAATATAAATGTTAGGTATGTTATAATTAAATAATTCCATTAAAATGTCTAAAATCTATAAAAATTTAAAAATAAAAAGATATTTATACAATATCAAAACTAACAGTTTCATAGAGTTTAGTAACTATAGAAAAAAGTCTGATTTGAATATTTTAATTTATATTATTGAATATTTTAATTCCGCAAATTTTATATTCTACTATAAAACAAGATTTATTAAAAATGATCCTGTCATTGCGTGTGACTTTTGTGTGTACGAATGATTAATGTAACGCATTATTTGTTATTAAATTTTGCCTTATAAAGCAACATAAAATTTGTTGTAAACCAATTATTATTTAGAGCTCTCTTTTAAAAAGTACAAAAACTACTTAGAAAATTGATAGAAACTTTTTAAATTTTTAAGATATTCCTATTAGACTTTTTACATTAGTTACCATATACTATTCACAACAAAATTACGATTTTTTTTTTTAATTTTTCTCTGTGCAGACGCACTATGAAAGAACTAATTAAAACACTCATATCTTGTCAAATTTTTAACAATTTTGATCTTCAAATTTAAAAATAATAATTTCATAAATAATGAAAAAATGCTCTGAAAATTTTGTTTATTTTTATGGAAAATTCTTAAAAGTTATAGTAAAAAAGACATAGGACAAAAAGATTAGTTTTATATAAAAAAATATATATTTCTCCATAAATAATTAAGCTAGATTTCAAAAATTTAATGTAATCATTGTAAATAGCAACCAAAATAATCAATACAAGTTGCAAGCTTATTGTTATACTTTCTGACAGAGTGTTCAAAAATAGTTGTTTTTGTTAATCATTTAATACTGGTCGTTTGAAACTTTATTGACATGACCTAAACACTTCTAAAATGCCAAAATAATCTTCTAAGTAATTTTGGAGAAATCTAAAAAAAATTTCAAAAATTGCAAGCATCTCTTCCATGATTCTAGAATAGTATATAGATATATATATATATGCATGAGCATATTCACACACACGCACATATATATATATGTATATACATATTTAAATAATATTATTGTCTGTCTAAGCTAAGTACTCCTCCCGCCACAAAGTCTGAGGCTGTCTGGTGCTATGGAAACAAGAATGGTGCAGTTTAGAGAGGGTAGCTTCGATGATAGCTTGTATTGGAAGTATACGATTGGCTGACTCAGCCAATAGTAGGAGACTTATTTAATCTGATTCAAGAACTTTTTTAAGATTCCTATAGATATTTCTTTTTTGCTTAAAACGATTCGCTTTACCCAATTGGTTGCTATTTTTTAAATACAAAGAAAAAAAAAAGAAGAAAAAAATTTAACAAATTCTGAAATTGAGGGTAGTGCAGGGCTTTTTTATGTTACTTTCAATTTTGCGCTATTAATTATGAATATTCATTGATTTTTTTGATGGTTTAGTTTCTAAACTTGCACATTTTTTAAAGCAGTTAATTTCTTTCATTAGTTGAATTTTCTGGTAAAAGTGAAGTGCTTAAACTTATTAACTCTAATTTTAAAAGAAGATAACACTTTTACTGAAAATAGAAATAGTTCATGTTATCTATGCCACAGAAATATTAAATATCTTTCTTTTTATTATTCATTTTTTACTCTTTTTTTTTCTTAACAGAAAGCAAGTTAATGCAAGTAAGATGAAATTTAAAACTATCAGCGATAATTTTTATCTCAACACCCATTGAACCATCTGAAGTCATGTAAGTTTTTTTTTTAATTACATTTTCTTATTCTTATTTTAATACAACATGTATAGCTTCTCTCACCATTTATTAAAAAAATAATTCTAACAATTTTTTATTAGCAAATTTATTTTTATTTTTTCTTAATAACCAATTTACAATGTATAATAAATTTATAGATGAGTTATTTATTAATAAAACATTGAACTGCTCTAAACAATTTTATACAATTTCCATACTGATTAATTCTCTTATTTATCAATCATTATTCATAGAAATAACAATTTCAACTGGTCATTGTATTTGGACAAATAGTATCAATGAAAATCAGAAGAGAGCTGAAACATAAAAAAGCGCAACTTATGCAAGTTATTTATTTAATAATTAATGAAAGATTTTTCTGAAATTTTGAAAATGTTAGTTATTAATGCTTCCTATTTATAATGCATTAGTTATAATGCTGGTTTTAAAACTTCACCTTTTTTTAAATTTAAAAGGCATTTTTCAAAATTCAAAAAAATTAAACAATGAAAAAGGGAAAAAAATTTACTACAAAAATAAATTCTTTGAAAAATGTTTCTAAAACTGAAGATTGTGAAAAAGCAGAAATATATAAAAAAAAAAAAAAGGAATTGAACACTCTAAACGATGTTTTAGGCGCAAATGCTTATTTCTCTTCACTCTAGGGCTAACACAATAGACCAAAGAAAGAGATCCCCTTTCTCTCATCGACCCGAGCCGAAACCACGCCTAAACAGTGACCCCGCACCCCTACTTGAAATAGTCATGCCTCGTTACCATAGTCACCGCCGCAGGTTCAGACGAATGTCTGGAGGAGTACTTATTTTAGACAAACAGTACACTGTCCAATTATTATTGTAATACCAATGAATTTTCTCTGTTTATTGATAAAGATTCTGGTCGAGTTATTACCGGATATTTAGATATTATTGAAGATCAAGATGATTAAAATTTTAAATAGAGGATCTAAATTTAGGACAAGTTAAAAAAGAAAAATTATAATTTTATTTTATCAGTTAAAAGGGATCTAGATTGTTTTACTGCTTAAGTTTCAAGAAAATATCATTGACCTATTGAAGGCTTTACAGGATGGAAAACCAGGATTGTTGAAAGTGTGAAAAACAAATTAAACTAATCTAAATTGTGCTTTTGTCCCAGTGGTACAATCATTGATTATATGTTCGAGAAAATTAAAAAAATTAAAAATATGCTAATTATTACAGCTGTTGATAAAGCTTCTAACAACTTTGGTATTATGAGCAATATTTTTTTAAAAATTGATTATTAGGGAATACAATAATGCTTATCTTAAATTAAAGGATGACAAAGTTATTGACAAAAGGATTATTGCTTTTAGTAAAAAATTCATCCTTATTTATTTCTAATAGTTAAATTTCATAAAAATCCAGTTAAATTCAGATTTATAGCTTGTGGTACAAATAGTTATAATTCTATTAATAGGAAAAAATTCTTTAATATTCTTAAAATTATTTTGTTTAAAATTAAAAGAGAGAAAAATATTGATATTAATAGTAATATTGATGTTTTGAACTTTATTGAAATAAATGAGGTTTTTAATATTAATATATTTGATTTTGAAAATCTTTATAACAGTATACATCATGCTCTAATACTTGATATATATGTATATATGTAGTTGCATTTATGATAAATATTTAATTAAAGAAAATATTGATAAAACTTATTGGATTGAAATTAGTAAATTTAATCTTTTTGAAAATGTTCTTTTTAATGGCATTGATTTTAAAACAAAAAATAGGGATACCACAAGGTAATTCTTTTTCTGCAGCTTTTGCTAATAATTTTTTGAAGCAAATTTTCTCGAGTTTAATGATTTTAATGTTTTTAGATATATTGATGATTTAATTTTATAATGATTTTATTTTTAATATTTAGATTATTAGAAGATTTAGTTTTGAAGAGAATTAATGATAATTGCTTAAATGTTGAATATTTTTAATTTTAAAATTAATATTGCTAATAATCAAATTAAAATTTGTATTTATGATAAAAGGAGGGCTTTTCATTTTAGGGTTATTTTTTCCACCAATTTATGCAGTAGTATTTCCAAAAATTTAGTTATTTCACAACTGTCTAGAATTAATAAAATTTCCAATAATATTCAATACTTTCAAGAGGCTACTAGCAATTTTTTTAAATAATCTTGAGGGTAAAATTAACAAAATGATTAGTTTTTATTTTCTTTCTTTAATAAGAACTAGATCGAGACTTAACTGAGTTGCCCCAGTTGAGCTTTTCTACTAATGAATGGCAACAACTTTCTTACTTTTCTTTTCCTTTCTGTGCATTAAGTAGGGACAGGATGTTCATTTGTGATTTTCAGTTTGGTTTGTTATTTTCTGAGTGTGGTGTGCTTTGGGTTTTGGCAATGAAATGTGTTTTTAAGCATGTTTTTTTTTTAATTTATTTTTCCTTCTGTAAATAGTTTATGTATTTTGCATTAATTTCACTTTTGTATTTTGATTTTGTATTCTCTCTTCCTGGACTTCTTGCAAAGCTTTGGGGTACAGAGAGAGCAAATTTTAGACCTTTGCCTTGCTTTCCAGAAAGAAAAGGTTTTGTACTATTTTTATGACTTTCGGGCTGGTACTCCCTTGGGGACATCAGCTTCGGTTGTCATTATTACATTTTTCATTGTTTCCCTTCCTTGTTTAAGATTTGCTACAAAATCTTTAAAATACTCTACATTTTTGCTGACTTTTTACAGAATTTTCAAATTTGGAAATAAGAATTAGCATGAACTATTTCTTGAATCTTAACAAACAAGTAAAAATGTTTTATTTTAATAATAATTAAATCATTTAGTTAATGGAAACTGCAATGAAATATTTACAAAATGAAAACCTTTGCACTAGTAATTTGCTTGACTCCATTTTAACACCAAAATAATATGTTTGTAAAGTTATTATGTATTATATTTTGTATAGATAATTTCCAAAACACTTTTATCATTTTTTTCAGTTTTGTTGAAAAGATTTCACATAAAAACAACAACAATTTGAAATATTTAGCTAAAAATAATATTTAAAAGTCCCATTTTGCCACTACACAGTTTATTTTGATTTTGCTTAAATACAGCTGTTCAAAGTATAATAGATCTATATAACGCAGTTCTATAAACAGCATTAACTTTACAATTTCTAAAGCAAACCAAAATTGATAAATCTGCTGGACTTCATTTGTAATGCTCCGGATAGTTAAATTTTTTTCAGTAAATAATAAATACCTTAAGTCCATATTTTTGAGTTTTTTACTATTTTCATTTTAAAATAATTTGAAAACATAAATATTTGTCTGTTCCGGATAGATATTGCCATGTTTAGTCGCTAAGTTTAATGATCTATAAAACACAAAATTTCACACAACAAAAAGTCCTACTTTTAAGGTTAGCATTATAAAGATTTTCTACTGTAGTAAGTTTTTTAAGTATGCATTTTTATGACTAACTGTACACCATAGACATGACGAAAAGCCTAATAAGTGGTAATAGTTGTAAAAATTATAAATAAAAACTAAACTTATCATGCAGTAAGTTTAAACAAATTATATTAAGATATTTTGTGCAAGATTAAAAATAGCCAAGAGCTGTAAATACAATGAAATATGCTAACGGGATGTTTTCTCCAGTAATCTTTAAATTTTGGTCTTAACTTCTTTTGACACACAGCTTCTTGCATGTCTTCCAAAGTAGGATGTTGACCAACAGTATCCTCAAAAGGTAACATGTATTGATCTACAGGACCTAAAAATGCATGGTGTAAAAAATTATTTTTTTAAAGTATCAAAAAATTAAATATCCTAAAATCAGTTTGCTTTATTAATATTATTTGAACCACTTTTTTTCCAATTACTGAAGGAATATCAAACATTAAAGACCCAAAACTATTCCCTCTTTACTTAGATTGTTTCAGCAAAAATAATGTATACATATTTCAGTGTGAATTTATATAATTATATTATATATTTAATTAGTGTGAATTTATTAATTAGAAATTACATAAATTCATTTCGCCCACAGAATTCTTTTCAGAAAAGGAAAAAAAACAATGTATATGAAATCTTTTCATATACTTCCTTAAGCAAGAAATTTAGCTTAAGATTGTTTAAATCATACAAGGTTATATTAATTTGCAATACAAAAAGATATCATATACTTAGCAATTTTTACCTAGTTTTATACAAATCAAAAAATTACTCTTTTCACAAATGTATTCTGACAGTATAAGGCATAAAAAGGCACCCAATACCTATTGTCTAGATTCATGCTTTGTTTTCAATAATTAAGATTGTTTTAAAAACATGACAGATTAGTTTGATGATTTTTAATAATTAAAATCATTTGACTGAAATTGTTAAAACCTATAAAAACTTATTAACATTCTTAAAAAAAATAGTGTTAATAATACTTATAGATAAAAAATTGACTTGCTAAAAATTTATTGGATTGTAAATTCAGAGTATCTGCTACATTTTCATGATACAAAAATTTTTCATGACTTAACGAAGTTACTATTTTATATTATGAATCAATTGCACTTAAAATTTTGTCTCTTAAAACAAATACAGATAACTAGTATAAAGCAAATAAATCAATTATGTTCTCTGACATCAAAACAAACTTAAACAATAAATAATATTGGTCTGTAATAGGATTAAATTCATTACAGTGCTTGTAAACTTACAAATTAAAAAATAAATAAATAAATAACATATAATTAAGTTATTAGCCACTCAAAAGATGTTTATAGTTAAAGCCTTGAATTTTCTTATGTGTGGCGGATCTAATGAGAAGGCCTACCTGATGATTTTTTAACTACTTGAGCTTGAAAATTCTATTTCATTGAATTGAGTCTCTAAAATTTCATAATCACCCTTCCCCTTTTCATCTTTTACGGCAATCAATTTTTATAATTTAGAATCAATAATAATCTAAAGAATTAACAATGCAGGTGAAAAACAGATGACAAGAATGAAACAATAAGCATGACAGATGCTCTCCAACTCAACCAAAGAAGCTGTTGATGAAAGTCCCTCCTACTACCAGCCCGGCAATAACAGTCTGTTTAGGAGGATTCACAGAAGTATGATTACCCGTCCATCTTTCTTCTGTTATAGGTGTGAAGAAAAGAAAAGTGAAATATGCAAATCATTCTATTCTCTAAAAGGGACGAGTGAAATGAAATACTTAAACAATCTATTTTGAAAGTAAAGTTTATTATTCCAAAAATATACAATTTTGAAATTTAAGGAGGTTCAGGTAAAATGATGCAACATATTTAGCAAGTAGATAAAAGGAGAATGAATGAACTCATGGTTTTAAATTTTAGGAACTCAGTTTTCCCTGTTTTTTATTTTCGTTGCTGATCTAAAGAAATATAGCTTTTATTGATTTAATCTACATCTAAAGTTTATTTTAACAATTTTTAGCTGTATAATCATTGGATTTATATACAGGGATGAGAGTAGTCAGAAAGTAAAAAAGAGGAAATCCAAGAATGAATATATATATCAACAGTCAGCGGANAAGAGGGATATGTAAATTAACTATAAAAGATGTAATGTGTTCATGATTATTCAATGCTTCAATTTTGCATTAAACGAGAGTATTTGTTTATAAATTTAATCATAATTTTTTAAAAACTATTTTAAAAGTTTTTTGATATATTTTAAATTTTAAAATTAAAAATTAGTAAAATAAAAGGATATGCTTGCAATTGTTTAGTGTTTGAATAGCACACAATTGTACATGATAAAATTTTGAAAAATTATTATGAAAATTACTAAAATGTATCATTTCTGATTTAACATAAGATTACAAATATTCATTTATTGCATATTTAATAATTATTTTATTTATTTTAACCATCTAATAATTTAGTTTAATTTATAATTTGTTATTTGTAACCGATACATTTACTCCAAAATAGCTCATGTAGTAAAATTATGCGTGACCTTTCCGATGAAAAACTTTCCCTTTCTAATTAAATTTTTCAGGTGCGATATCTATTCCAGGGCAGTCTATCACCTCGAAAATACGGTACGTAAGAAAGTGACAACATGGTCGCTAGAAACAAAAAAAACAGTATTTTTTTACGGCTTATTGTAACAATAATCAATTTGCTATTTCAGTCAATCACTTCATATTGAAACTTTAAGTTTTAATGAAACAAAAATTTAGCACAATTTGCTCAGCTAGTGACTTTTTTAATCAGACTAAATAAAGCAAAATTTAAGTAAATTAAAGAATTCAAATTTATTTTTTTCCACAGCAGGATTTCTTCCAAAATAATTTTAGCCAAATTAGAAGATTATGAACATACTTTAATCTACCTTTTTTGCATTCAATGGAAGTAATACTATAACTCTTAGCATGAATCTTAGCTAGTATAACTAGCATGAATCTTAGCTAGTATAACTAGCATAAATCTTAGCTAGTATAACTAGCATAAATCTTAGCATGAACTTTTTTATAAAACCAAATTACATATTTTGATTCCTTAAAAAATGATAAAACTGAAACACAATGAGATATTAGTCAATTTTATCAAATAAAAAACAGCAACAAAATTTACTCAAAAAATCTTAAAATTATTTATGACACAACCTAGTAGTTTTCTCATACTTTAGTTGAAGAAAATTTGAATAGTAAACATTCTTCTCATAATTAAATTATTTATTTAATGATAGATTTTTACCTTCTTGAGCAGAACATCTAGACAATAATTCCCAAAGAACTAATCCACAAGCATACATATCAATGCGCAAGAATGCATCTCTATTAAAATTAATAGCACCTTCTAAAACTTCAGGAGCCATATACCTTCGAGTGCCAACCTAGAACAATACGAAAGTTTTAAAAGAAGCTAATTATTTTCCCACATTATAGTTACAATTGAGAAAACTACAAAAAATCTGAAAAATCAAAAAAAAAAAAAACTTCATTTCAACCCTTTATTTAACATTTTCAAATAAAATTGGATTTTTATGCAATGTATCTCTTTTAAGCAGATAAGAAATTTACTCTAATGCCTGGAGCAATGAAATATATATCGCAGGTATCTAATCTTTTCTATTTATCAACTCAGGTAAAGTTCTCTTCTCCTACTTCATGGTCAAAATAGTCCTGTGCCCCTTATTGAATTCTGTCCACAGAAATATGATACAGGATCTACATGAAATATCATACATCATATATATGCAAAGAAAATTTGTAAGTACTAAATATACAGTCTACGGTTTTTAATACGGCCTCTGTTACTGTGAGTCTCCCATTTTAATGACCAAAACAGTAAGTCCCATTTTTTATTCCATTGACGCAATGTTACTTTAATACTCGTTAGGACATCTGAATCGACCATTCATTCAAATATAGCGACAAAAATTATATTTACATTTTTGTTATTCCAAAAAAATCAGTCCAATAATAGATATTAAACATTTTTGCCATTTTTTAAACATGTGTTTCGCTAGTGTCAATGAATCAGTGGATAGCAGAAGTTTCGAGAAAATGTTTGAAACTGCTATTTCTTTTCATGCTATTGCTCAATAGACATAAAACATCTTGAATAAATAACAAGTGGTAGACGGAGCATCTTAACCATTTCATTTTCTCAGAATCTATTTACTCAATATTTGTTTATATTTGAAGCCAGGAAAGAGATTCAAATGTTTCTGTTGCGTGATAAGCAGTGACCTAATGAGGTCAGCAATTAGCTTTGCTATACCATAAAATGAAAAGATAACTAGTTGTCCATTCTCAGTGAATGAAGAAAGAGTGACAGGACAACCTATTTTTTTCCTAGGTGGTCTTAGGTGTAATCTATTGTTAAAAAGATGGTAAAATATCGATTAATTAACATTATTGAGAATTAGAGGTATATTTTGCATCCTTGTGTGGAATTCAGAGTTTCCATATGCCTTTACAACTTTTTTAAATTTCATTAAAAAGAATTCAATAAATTCATCAATCATATTTTTCTTGTTTGAAAACTGCATTCATTCTTTTTGTGAAGAGTTATAATCGGTGTTTTATTTTGGAATTAATACGTATTAAATTCACATTATATAGGTTGTTATACTCTCAGACTCGCAGGCAGCCATACAGGTTATTAGTTCTCTTGGGGCTCCTACAATTGTTGAAGTCCTGCAGTGCTGGGAGTTAATTCGTCGCATTAGTCAAGAAAACAAACGCATCAAGTTACAATGGATCACTGGACAATGCGGCATTTATTTAACGATCAAGCAGATCTTCTCGCACAAAAAGGTACGCTTCTACAGCAAACAAATTACACCGGGCTGTCTGCTCTTTGAAGTCGAAACAAGCTTTGAAGTCGAAACAAGCTGTGAAGTTGAAATTCAAAACACAAATACATGATAGAATTAAATTCAAGACCTGGAGTAGTGATCTTGCTAATATACCCAATCGCCCAAGACGTGAGGCAGTAGCATTGTTCCGGCTGTTACAGGACATGACTGTCTGAGTGACCATCTCCATACAATTGGTATTTTCGACTCCCCTCTTTGTTCATTACGCAATCTGGGAGAACCTCTGAATAGAGCAAATCTGCGTCGATGTGGGGCACTTCGTGGCTCTGCCCATTCTGAGACCACCAAATATTGGAGAGCTAAAGAACACCTGAGGCTTCAATGACTTCGGTCAATATTTGCAATTGCTTGCTCATTGTTTTGCATTGGCTTGTTTTTATAAATGTAATATGCCTTGACATTGGAAATAAAAAAATAATGATATTCACATTATTCTTGATTTAATTTTTTGCTTAAACGTTGCAGTTTTTTGGGCCTAAATTATTCACTGGAAATTATAGCTCATTCCTACATAATGCCATATGTTCAGTACCAAAATTAAAAATTTCAAAGGAAAGGAATAACATTTTTATCAAAATAAGTCCAGTATTAATGAGTTTTGAGTAAATATTCACAATAGTTTTGTGCACTTATGATATAGTGACTTCATGTTATAACATCCATTTTGGTTTGGGCGAAAGAGGTCCGTGTCTCAACTGAATATTCTTCATGTCAACTTTGACATCAAAATAAGCAAAATTAATCACTGGTGAATCAAATTTTTATTTTATTTATTTAATTTTAAATTTGTCTTTTTTCTAGTGTAAATAATCTTCACACTTGCAAAAAGTCATGCTGGTATGACAGTTGTAACCAAATAGCAGAGATAATAGGTTAAACAAAATGCAATCCAAGATGTAATTTTTTTTTCTAATTACACCTCTAATTAACTAAGTAAAAAATTTTATTTCTATTATTATTTTAAGAATATATAATGTATACTTAAAATATTAAAAACTGCAATTTGATTTTTCTATAAAATTACACTTCATCCTTTAAAATTCCTATGAATTCAGGCAAAACTACAAAGAATTATACTTCCTACATTATTAGTTTTGGAAAAAACAAGAATTAATGTTTTGAAGGCTAATTGAACCTAACACTACAGCGTTCAGAGCTACCTAATTTGCTTATTTTTTAAAATTATTAATTCAGTTATCTACTTTAAAACTAAAACAATGACAACTTGAAAAACAAAACTAAACGTTATAAAATATAGTCTCATTTTTAAGAAATTTATTATTATTCAAAAGAATATTAATAAGGAATTATATGAAATTTTAACTTGTATTTTTCTAGTTAATTTACATGAAAATGCATGTTTTGCACATATATGAACATTTCTATTTAGGTTGTAAAAAGAACAAATGGAATATTAATCACATATTTTCAAAAAAACATGTAGATTTGTTAAGAGTCAAAATTTTGTGTAAAAACCTTCTTAACAATCACAACTTAGTGAAGGATTCAAAATGGAACACAATTTGTTTCTAGAGTGCCCCTCCCATATAGTGTTTAGAAATCAATGAAATAGTTATGATATCTTGCCTGTTCTCTCCTCTCACTGATCTTGCTATTCAAAGCAATGCTATAGTAAGTGAAATAACATAGTGAATAACATAGTAAGTGAAATAACATAGTCAGTTTCGTGTCTTTGTTGACTTCTAGATGAATTGAAGTGACTCATCGAAGATCATTCTGTCTATCTTTCTCAGAAATAACATTAATTTTTCTGTCTAAGCTACTCTGATACTCTTAATCTATAAATAAGTTTATGCATTTTTATCTAAAGGTGTACAGATTAGAGGCTTTTGTATTTACTTGAATTAGTTTTGAGTTTACAAAGAGAAAACTATTTTAAAAGAATGTGTTGTCAATTTAAGAGAGATTTTGATTCATACACCTTTATAGTCGTTTAGCTGCATACCTATAGTATTTGCTTCTCTATGGTTACTACACTACTGAATTTTGTTAACAAATAACAGTTTACTACATTTACTAAATATAACAGAATGCTGATTAAAAAAAATTTATGGAAGAAAAGCAGATTCAAATTTAGTAAATGGAAACAGATTGTTAAGAAAGGCATTATTTTAAATATATATATATATATATATATTTAAGTTGTTTAAGAGTAGAATGCAAAGTATCACAAAAATTAGTCAACAGCCTGGTTTTAATTTTATATTTTTATTACCTGTCCATGAGCTTCACCAATTGGTTTCCCTTGCTCAAACACTAAAGCTAAACCAAAATCAGCAATACAGGCACTCATGTCATTTTTAATAAGAACATTTTTACTCTTAAAATCCCGATGGGCCATGGCTGGCTTATACTTTCCTCCTTTGTGGCCAGGAATTTCTTCATGCAGGTGCATCAAGCCTTTAGATATGGAATCAGCAATACTAAGTACTTCTCCCCAACTTACAAGATTAGCCTAAATCAATAACAAATCTTTAATTTAATTAAAAGAAAAACAGCAAGGATATTTTTGAAATATTTAAAAATTTTGAAATATTTGAAATATTCCTCAGTCAGAGCCAGCCTAAAGCAATACAATACAATCATTACATAAAATAAATATACTTCTTAGATGTACTTATCTTTTCAATTATCCAGCAGGCATAGGTCACAAAACATGGCAAAAACTCAAAATTAACAAATACCCCAGAAAAATATCAAATGCATTTTTTAGCGAAGAAAGCAAAGTACAAATATTGACAAGTAGCAAGTACAAATATTGACAAGTAGCAAAGTACAAGTAAAAATATTGACAAGTAAGCAAAGTACAAATATTGACAAGTAGCGAAGTACAAATACTGACAAGTAGCAAAATACAAGTACAAGTACAAATATTGACAAATAGCAAAGTACAAGTACAAATATTGACAACAAAACATACAACTCACGCCAAAAGATCCAAAGTACAAGCAGTAAAAAAATATATTTAATCTTATTAAATACAGTAAAACCTTGCTACAATTTTTTGGGGACCAAATAAATATATTGTAGTAGAGGTATATATTGTTATATCGAGGGCACATACTTTGGGGACACAATAAGATTTATTTTTAATTTCAATGTTATATATGTATTAACTATAAATGCATTTATATATTATATAAAATAATTTATTTGCAGAGCACTAATTATGGTTAGTATTAAGAACAATTGAAATAAAATATAACAAAATAAAATAATTTTTACATTAATTAAAAGCCAATAAAAATGGAGAAAATAAGATTGAAATTTGAAGAAAAAAAAATAGTTTTACAGGGGTTTATTGCTCCAGAAAATATCACAATTTTGAGAGGAGGATAACATTAATTCATATGCAAGTTTGTCGGGACCACAAAGCATTATCGTAATAGAGGGAGTTATTGTTGTATTGGATATCGTAGTAGCGAGAGTTCACTGTATTTACACAAGTTTGCAATCAATATATTTTCAGAAATGTTAAATATTCTAGTTAACTAGTGCAAAGGTTAACTATATTAAGAGATCAAAGATAAAAACCTAGTTTTACTAACTTACAAATATGATTTCTTTTTCAACTGAATTGGAATTTTGACCATCAAAACATGGATTAGCCTAATTTGGAAAATATGTTCTTAACAGTTAGTCAGAAAAAACGGTAGAAAGTATGTCTTCTTAATGTTATTTTTACTCTTTTCACTTTTTTCTTATCTTAGTACTTAATTGTAAAAATTAAAAGTACTCAAATATCAAAATTTTTAGAAGTTAAAAAGTTTAAGCTTTCCTTACCAAATAATATGATTTTAATAGAAAAAAAATTAACAATTAATTATTATTTAATTTATTACTAATCAAAAATTTACAAAATCCATGCAAAATCTTCCAACTAAATACTTTAAATTGTTTGAAAGAAATTAAAATTTAAAATAATATTTTCCTTTAATTACTAAAAAAAGGAAATGGAAACTGATACTGACAGAAATCTATATGAAGTAATTGGTAATGTGCTTTAATATTTTGTTTCAGACAATCTTAAACCAAAATATCTGTAGTACTTGTATTTTGTAGTACTTGCTGTATCTGTAGTACTTGTTATATAATGTTGCAAGATGTAAAAGTTAACTAAACTTAAAAAAAAATTACTTATAAATTCTGCAAATAGTTGAATCTTTTCTGTATTATTCTTAAACAGAACCTGCATTTTATAAAAAATTATTTATCTTAATTGAATCACTTAATGAAAGAAGTCTCTATGAGACATTTAAAAGAAAAAAAATTTGTGGAATGCTTACACTGATATTATACTTTAGTTCAATCACTAATAGTATACTTATGCTCAATCTACTTAATTTGTGTTTTTCAATATAAGATAAAGGTAATGGAAGGTTTCCACTTACCATTTATTATGGACTACCTTTTTTAATTCTGAATAAACATTTATTGTTTCTAAACTACCGTAAACCGGGGCGAGTCTACCCATTTTTTCAGTTTGTCAATTTTCAAGTGGTCAAACTTTTGTAAATATTAAAGAAAAAAGGCTTTTAATAGGTGTTTCGGAATCGCTATTTATCCCACTTTAAAGCTGTGAAATCGATTTTAGAAAATATTAACAGTTACGCTGTTACTGTATATTTTTATAGAACTGCTGACAAATCTCTCGTATGGGGCGAGTCTACCCATTCTACTAAAATGAATGTTAACATTGTAAATAATCAAATTTTACTATTAAATTGTTATTTTAGTTACTATATAGGATATTTATGAAGTAAAATTCATAACTTTATTATATATTCCATTTTTTTATTCATAAAATAACACAAATTGAGTATTTGATCGATTATCACATTTTGATCACAGTTTTGTTTTTATAATCATTAACATTATAAAATAACATTTTTTTCTGATTATTGTTGATAAAAATAAATTAAAATTAATATAAATTTACAATTAAATAATTAATAAATAATAATAATTAAAGATTATTAACAAAATCGAAATTCAAACATTGGGAATCATGAAAAATCCTTTTCCCATTCTTTTGGGAGGTAATAATAATTTATAAATAATAATTTATTTAACTTGCATTAAATAAAAAAAGTTAATTTTGTAATATAAAAATTGAAAAAATAGGTAAAATAAACATATTTTATATTTACATTTATATTTAACCTATAAATTTTCTTATTAATGATAAATTTATCAATGCAGAATTAAAATAATATACTCAAATTCATTTAAAATGACTTAATTTTAATATAAACAAAGTTCTAAATTATATTATTATGCTTTATTAAAACTAAATACGAATGGGTAGACTCGCCCCGCGAATTCTGGCTTTTTGTTTACAACAGCAAAACTTACATTCTTTTTGTTTTTTTTTATATAAAATTAATGTAATCTTAGTCTTAGATAAGTTTATCACTTAACCAAAGTGAAAATAGTAATAATAATAATATACTTACGGAGCACCAACTAAAAGTTTGCTGATTTTCAATACAAATCTCTCAAAAGACGTTTGAACAGGTCGGTTAAAAAGACACCAAATAAATAAAAACGGATCAAACTACTACAGCGCCATCTTCCTTAGAGTCTGAACTAAGTCCTCCGTCGGTAAAAAAAAATTTTATTTGCAATTTAAAATAGTGAAAATTAAATAAAACTAAAATGGGTAGACTCGCCCCTGGCTGGGTAGACTCGCCCCAGTTTACGGTACAATAAACCTGAACTACAATAATAATTCATTCAGTAAACCTGACGTCGTTCATATGCAGTTTATATATTTTTTTTACTAGAATTCTCGGCTCCACTGCTACGCTTTGAGGACGGAAAGGGGGAACATTCTGAAACTCTTGTTATAGACGAACTCAAGGCCGTGGCTCTTTCTCGGCTGATTACTTCCGTTCTAGTATCTCTGATACTTTCCATTTGTCATCATTGCTATATTTTTTAGTTATTTCTAACACTATATTGGAGGGAAGTAATTAATAAGTATAGGACAGAGTAAAGGTCGGGATAGCCTGGTCGGTAGGGCACTGGGCCCATGTTCGAGAGTTTGTGGGTTCAAACCCTGCCGGCTGAAGACTCTCTGTGTAGAAAAATAATGACTGATACACGTTAAATCTGTCGAGTCGCAAAGTCCCCCATGTTCCCATAACAAATCAATACCTCTGGCAGAATTCGAATTCTTGGCCATAGATGGCACCACTGGAAAACAAAAACAATTGCACCCCTCTGCCTTAACAGGCATGAGAGAGGGGGGGACAGAGTAAAGCCTCATAATTTTCTTGTTTAATTCCCAAAGAGTCATATCGGTTTGACAAGAATCAGAAAGTTTTCTGAATGAAAAAATATCTGTTGATTTTTCTACTGGGGTTAAACTCAACAATTTATTAATCAATTAGTTAATTTTCAACGTTTTCTTGGCAAAGCGATCTCTTAATTTTTCAATTGCTGATACATAATTGTTATTTGTTAAACTGAATCCTTTAATCGCATCTGAGGCAGATCCCACTAAATATTTTTTCAAGTAATTGAACTTTTCAACAATCGACAAACTAGTATTTTCATCTATGGCATATTCAAACTGCTCGTAAAATCTTATTCAGTCTGAAGAATCGCTAAAAAATTTTTCTATAGTTAAAAGAGGCATCTTCACAAAAGGAGTTTCATGTATTCTTATATTAGTATATATCATCGGTTCGGAAACATTCAAATTTAATTCAGGAAATACTATGAAGTCGACATTTTTTCTATATTTCCTTTGAATCTGCTTTTATTTTGTACAATATTTGTCAAATATTCACCATACTTTATAATTTCTGTACCGATTTCCTTTACATCCATAATAACCTTTCCGTTATGAGATCAATTTCTTTTGATTGTTCTTGTTTTAACATTAATTCAGACATTAACTCATCCAATTCATCGATTGTCACATTATCATCTTGATATACATTTTTGATTTTGGTTAATAACTTAGTTGTCAATGACCTTATCGTAGTACGTTTTTGTTTGGATTTCTACATCTTAATTTCAATGAAGGAACTACTTATACCCTTAAATCACGATTCGCCGAAACTAAATTTCTAATCGAAAATAAGTAAAACTCATAATGGTGATCCCTGCTTAGGCACCAAAAAATGTTCAATATTATTAATTCTTGTTTTTCAATATAAGATAAAGGTAATGGAAGGTTCCCACTTACCTTTTAATATGTACTGCCTTTTTTAAATCTGAATAAACATTTATTGTTTCTAAACAACAAGTGGTAAAGATGATGAATATATATAAAATGAAATGATTTGCGTTAATTAAAAAGGTGATGAAAGATAATGACAGTTAATTGTGGCAAGCCGCATCTTGATTTCCATTCCAACAACTAACTTAAAAGTTTTAGGGAAAAAAAGTTATTATTTTCAGCTGCGCTTGCAGCGCCATCTGGAGACAGTTTTTACCTTGAGA